GCCTGCGGCGGCTGGACCGCGCGGGGGGCGCCCGGCACGACGTGCTCGCGGTGAGTCGGGGCGGCCCGCATGCTGGGCCGCACCCTACCGGCGCCCACGGGAACGTCCGGCCGTGACATTTCACGGGGAGGGACCCATGGTTATTTCTGCACGTGTCACGAGCTCGGTAGGAGCGATCGCTGCGGAGCCCCCTGCGCGTGTGCCGGCAGAACAGAAGCGCTCTCGGCCCGCAGCGCCTTCGCTTGCCAGCTGGGGCCGGGGCCGCGCTTTGTCGCGTGGCGAGGCCCGGCGCTGGTCCACACCCTTGGTGAAGACGGCTGGGGCGGGGGGCTACCGCCTCCGGTGACGCCTGTACCGTCCCTCGGCCGGGGCGTCTGGGGTGCTGGGCCGACTACACCTTGGAGCCCTGGTTCGGACCCTGAACGAAATGGGGTTAAAGTTCAGTATGGCTACAGGTCACGGAGACAGGTTGTGACTTGATCTTTTGAGGTCCCTTCCGGCCTTACGATCGAGTCCGTTCCTGCCTGGTGCGGGGGCCTGGGCCCGATGATCTTCCAAGGTCCCTCCCAGGCTGCGACCTGCTGTGTTTGGTGTCGGATCAGCCGTTACCTCCATCTGACCGAGCCCTCCCTGCCACGGGGCTGTGCCTCAGAGCCGTATGGGTGCTTGCTTCCCAGTCCCCTACGGCCTAGGGTGTTTCCATGCGCAAAGCATGGTGCTGCCTCTGACCTGCAGAGCCCAGGAGGTTTGGGACCTTGCTGTTGACCTCAGCTCCTCGAGCCCAAGCCCTCCCAACTGAAGCCAGGGCACAGCCCGCACCTGTCTTCTGAAGGGGCCCATGTTTTGGGACATGCTCTCCTCTTGGGAGGCATCCAGAGTAAGGGCTCATTAGTTTTCCCGTGTGCTGCCAAGCCACAACTCTCCCTTTTCAGCGTGGTTAGTGTTGGGCTGGTTGCACTCATGAGCAGTCCTTTTATTTGCTAGGTGCTCATAGCTGTATTTCTGTATCCTTAAATGTCTGGTGTTGATTTGTAATGCAGGTCAGAGACAAAGAGGAGGACTGAACATGCCAAATAAAATTAGACTGCGTATTCCCTGAACCCTCTCAAATTCCCTTTCCAATAGACAATTAGATAATTGTTCTGCAGACTTTTCCCATGAAACAGTGTGACTGGCTTTCCAAGATGTGCCTCAGGATTTAACTCTTCAAATGAAGTTTTCTCTTCCAGCTGGGATTTATGTGGGGCCAAATTTGGGCCTGCATCAAATAGCTACAGCTGTTGTAGGCACCTGAATAGGACATAGGTACAGGCGAGACTGAATCTGGATCTTCAGATCTTTATTTATTTAAGAAGGAAGCTCAGTAGTTGCTGTTATGCACCAGCCAAAGGGCTAACTGCGTAGGCCAGGCTCACAACTTCACAGATGGATTGGGCTTGCTAGCTGTAGCCCCGTAAACTACTGCACAGAGTAAACGTTGGCTGGCACTGACTTGACTTCTGCTATTTTGACAGTTGTACTTTGGGCATACAGCAGTGTCAGGTGGGCTATAAGATGTTCTATATCTACAGTACAGTTTGTAAAAGTAATAAATTCTTAGTAATACACGACTTCCCTGCAAGACTTTGCTGTTAAATCTTCACTGAGATAGAGAGACCTTGCCATTTCTCGTGTAGATTAGCAGGGTTATATTGTGCTAATTCTAAAGGGCAGCGATACAAGAAAGACAAGCTACTAAATTATACTACTGAAGTGTATTCCTTATTTGAACTGTTCCATTGTGCAAAGACTCAGATTCTCAAACAGCAAAACTCAGTACAAAAAGCTCCATCAGGAGACTGTTAAGGCAGCTTGGTTAAGCACTCAGGAATTGGAAAAAGGCAAAATTAAGCCTGTACGTAAACCCTGCTTCCTGCTGCATGTGAATAGATATGAGGCGGTTTTAAATCCATGTTTACATAATATTTCTAGACGCATTTTTTAAAAAGGGTAAGTGGAATTCCCAATCTAGGCAATGGAGGCTCATATCTGTTATCAGCTCCTTTCTTCCACACCATGTTGAGGAATCCCCTTCTCAGTGCAGAGGGAAAAGGTGTTTTTTCTCCCTCAGAACAACTGCAGAGGGATGAAGGGACCCTGCTCCTTCTTATTCCTCCGTCTGTTGACAATGGGAGGCACCATCCCACATTGCCTTTTCACAAGAAGCACTCAAGCCTGTTCCAGTTCTTGAAGTCAGCGGCCTGCCTCAGACAAGCCTGCTCTGCACATTGGTGTTGTTGCTTGTCTGCAAAGCACTGCCTGCTGGGTCAGCCCAAGCACTGTGTGGGCCATGCAACCCAGCTGGCTCTGACTAAATGCCAGTGCAGATTCCTGATGTCTGGCAAAATTGTCTGAGCATTTCTGCCCAAATTCCCCAATTTAATTTAATAGGAGCTAATCACTCTGAGTACTTGGAAGTTACCTTATGCATCTTGGGTGCTGCTCCAACAATTAATGAAGTGTTGGGTTTCATGGGAATTTCCAGCAACTCATTTCCATAGTTGTTCTGTGTTGCTGCGCAGTTGCTTTCTCAGCCTGTCCCTGTCAGCTGAAGTACTGTGCCAGTCAGAGTCCTAAGAAGCTTGAGGCAAAGCCTGGGTTTACGTGGTACGACTTACAACTGTAATTTTGAGTCAGATGCACCCACCTGCTATTAACTTTGCCAGGGGATCCTGATGGTTGTGCTTGTCAGCATGGTCCTCGCACCAAAAGGCACCAAGTTGTTTTTGTGGTAGAAACACAACGTACACATGTCCTGGAGTTGTCGCTGGATCCTCAGTGAGTTTCAAACTTGTCTCCCATTCCAAAAATGCCAAGATGAGAGAAGCTAAACAGCTGTGGCACTGAAAGAGCAGGGAAATGTCAATCTTTCAGGGACCCAAGTCACTACAGGACCTTAACCAAACCTTTGAGAAGACTCAGAGAAATTCTGCTTACAACACTGAACTGCAGTTGTCTTGTTTTTGCTCCTGCAAGGACCGGGCGGTACCCGACCTGTAGTGGATATGGATAATGTTCTTAGATTTTACGTAGGACTGAGAAGGCCTATGGAGTCCAGTCTCCTGCATTAGCAGGTGGCCACTTATCCAAAAGGATCCACAAGTTTATCAGCTCTGACTTTCTCATACACAGCAACTGCAAAAACAAACAGAAACCCACCAGAACAAACTGGGTGAATGTTGCAGTTTGTGTGGATGTTTTTTCAATGTAATGATGTAAACATTAACACCTAATACCATTCAGTAAGCATTAGAGTTGGCATTCAGATGAGGTAGGTAATATTGCCATAAGGTTTTCCAAAACTCTGATCTTTTAGACCAAAGCTTTTCAGATCTGTGTCAAAAGGTTTGGGAGTCCGTCTCCCCCCGCCGTCAAACTCAGAAATACCCAAGCCAAAATAAAGCAAATCAAACATTCATCTTCAGGATTTTTATAAATAAAATAAAATTGGAGGAAAATATACTTAAAATTGAATGCTTTTTTTTATAGCAGCTCCAGGAGACTGAAATGCTTGAATTTTAAGAGGAGATGGCCCAAAGGGAAAGGAGGTACCTTTCTGTAAAAATGGCTTTTGATTTGGCCATTTAGTAATAAGATTTGAGTTACTTTTGCATGTACCCTGTAGTCTTTATTTTCCAATGAAGGCGCTCTCAAAGAGCTACCTTCTGACACTCAAAAGGAAATTAGGCAGTGTATGCATGTGTAGTTAAAATGTGACACCACATTTTGGGCCTTGGTCCGTTGGTTGTGGGGAATGTAGGAGCAATAAGCAGTGAGGTGCTCAGTAGAAATCTGGGGTCAGGGGGTACGCCCAGAGGAAAGATCGATAGAGATGGGCTACAGAAGAATACTGTCAAATTCTCACTGAGTTTTACCTTATTATTAGCAAGGAGATGGGAATACTCTCATGATCTCATCCTGGTCAGGTCATTGCCTAGGGTCTTTCAGCAAGAAGGAAGCACCCTCTTTCCTCAGAGTGCTCCCAGGGGGAAAGCCCAAATGAGGGAGCAGCCAGCCCAGCAGTTGTCCTGCCAAACACCCAGTCCAAACCATTCTCGGGTGCTTAGAGGCTTTTGTGGGTAACTTACTGGGCTGGGACAGGGGTGATGAGTGTGTTAATTTACTAGCTCTGCCTATGGCTTTCTGCATTACATTGGCCAAATCACATCATTTCCTTTCCTGTCCTAGACAGGTGTTATTTGTTATTAGTCTTGCTTGGGAAAGAAAGCATTAGCTGACTGGGCAGAAGGCTTAAAAGGAGGCTCCAGTTCCAGTCTGAAAAGTCTGCTGAGGGAAAATGTGTGCTGAGTGAGAGTGAGCTGGTGATGGGAATGGATTGGCAAAAGTTTCTGGGCCAAGGATACCAGGGCTAGGAAAAAGACACAGCCTCTAGAATGGTGGTCCTCAGCCTTTTTAGACTCCAGGCACTGCTCTGAAAATGCCAGCTCTTAGATTTTACATGTTTTTGACTGTGGAAAAATGATAGATTGATTCTCTTGTTGCAAAGAACTCAAACCACCATAGGTCTGAGTGCTTTGAACACTGGATTCCTATTTGAAATCTCTGGGTTTATCTTGTGAATCATGTTTGCGTGCCTAACAGTGCTATACCCGCATTGCATGGCAGCCTGCGGCACCCTTGAAAGGAGCTCAGGGTGCCACAGCATCCTAGTTAAGAATCACTGGTGTAGAAGAACAGGTTTGAGCTTCTCACCTGAGGAGGAAAATCTTTCTCACAGACCTACATGCCCGCAGTTATCCGGTTCATGCTTTCCCTCTTCTTAAATATAGGTACTGCGTTTGCTGCTCTCTAACCTTATGCTGTCACCCAAATTCAGTAAAAATGCTTGCTGCCTTTATTGTTCCATGTGATGATTCTTTCAGAATTAAAGAATGGAGACTATCTGGTCCTCCCCTCTTCAGCAAGTTAAATGCTTCTGTTTCCATGTGTTTGTCTTGCTTAAACATCCTACCTTTGCCACCATGTTCATCATCATCGCAGTCTTTACTGA